CAAATTCTCGTTTTAATCAACAATAATTTTTCTCAACAGAAAGAAAATTAAATACATAGTTTTTAAAATCACTGGTATAGTTTTAATATGGCCCTAGGGGGGGGTCGCCAAGATTTTTTAACTTGTAAAGGGGTCGCGTATTCAAAAAGGTTGAAAAACACTGTTCTAGAGGATTCGTCTGAATGTGCCGTGTTACCAATCCCTGGTATACAGTATTGTATTAAGTTTCTTTTTCCAAAATTAATCTGCAAAACTACGGACATTCAAGAGGAACACCCTGTATGTTGATTGCAAAAAAATACGAATTAAATGCGTAACACAACTACTTTATTCCAAACAATTCACTTGTTGAAAAATTTTTTGGATTTGATCCATCTCCAAGCCAGTTCTATTTAAGTAAATTAGACTCGAAGGTGGATCAATATTCTAAACTGTTTTTATATTCTTTTACAATGCATTTTCTAATTAAAGTTAAGCTATTTCTGAAAATTAAACATGCCTTTCTCTTTTAAATTGATATTAATTTCTATATTTACAGAATACACACTTATGTCGGCAAATGTCTTTTAGGGTTCCTACATAATAAAATTGTTTTTCCAGGACTTTTCAAGGATTTCTACAATTCTTCCAGCACAAGTGTATAAAATCTTTGTGGCAAAAATATACGTCATTACACATTTTCTTTATTACTAATTTCTTTTTTTAAAATGCAGACTTTCAGCTCCTTACACCTCACTTTTTTTTTTATTGAAAACCTAATAGTTTTTATAATTAATAACTATATAATTTTTACAGTAATGTGTACACAAACAAGCAAATTTAAAAACATACAAAACTAAAATTAATACCCAGCTGGACTAGAGAACACGAATATTTCAGCTTGGATGGTCGTGTTGGTTCCACACAGCATTATGATAATTGATTTATAAAGTCCGTCCTCTAGCTCGTACACCGTCTTGTGCCTGTTATCTCTAAAGACAACAGGCACAAGATGGTGTGTACAAGCTGTTTTCTCTTCTCATTGTCCAAGTATTGGTGGTATATTATCCTTTCAGAATATGCACTTGATAAAAGATCTTTTCTTATGAAGTCAAACTTTTCTATGTTTCTGTAAGTCATAAACCAATCTAGCTACCAGAGTCTACACCTTTGAATTTTCTATGCTCGTTTTTTTTGTCGGCCGATTAACCGTGTTCCGCTGTGGAAAGTCCAGCCAAAGGGTCGAAACGAGTTTGACGACTTTTGGAAATCACCGTACTTGCTTTGAGAAGAGATTGCAAAAAGTTAGACCAAACATTGGCATTTCTGGTCAAACTTGCCGAGTGCTAGAGAGCTTGATGATATTTCTTTTATACCCTACCCATAGTGGAGTGGACAAAACCACCGAACACTGGTAGTCGGTTGCGGGTTCACATCTAACCGACAATCTGGCCGTGTGGAGTTTTCTGGGTTTTATCTTCCTGCATTATCTTAATGGAGGTTGGTTTTCCATAAAACGTCTTCTTGAGAGCTAAATTGCCCGTGTGTTGCATTGCCATCTGCAATCATACAAAATTAAACTATTTCTTTTAGAAACAGTTATATCTGGAGTAAAGCTCTACCACACTTGCCTAAACTGAAATTTGTTTGAAAATTTTTGAAACAAATTAATGAAGATTTAGTTATTCCTTCATCATATAGCATAATTCCTGGATCAAGGCATCTAGACATTCTTACTACGGGATATTTCAAGAGAGTTTTCAGTCTGAATCTTCACTTGGACATTCATAGGTGAATCTGTCTGGTAGCAAAAGTATGGTTCTAGCTTTGTGGGAAGAAAACAAAAATTGTCTTGCTTTTACGGTCTGAAAAGATTTTGTGTGTATTAATCGGATTAAATAATTCGGATCATCTGTTCCTTGCAAGAGCTTTTTGAAATTCAAGTTACAAATGCATTAAACCAAGAAACTGTGTCCTTTGTCCTATAGTCTGTAACTTGGTGGGCACGACTATTATGAACCATCCTTCCATTTAGTGTAGTGCTATTTGACAGCCGTAGTAGCTGTACCAACTCCTGTGACAGGTGTGTAAGAATAATATCATGCATCACCAGATCTTGACTTTAAATACAAACTTATGCATAATAGCCAAGAGTATAAAAGACCACTTGAAATTGAGATGTCAGAATGTACTGTTTGCATTGAGGTTGTAGTAGTGGGATGAAGATCTCTGAGAAGAGAAAAATTGCATGGTTTCTGGTGTGCGATTGGACACACATGGAAATTGCAGGAAAGCTTGCTTGGAATAATGTGCCATGCTGAAATATGCTTCCTCCAGGGATACAGACATCAAGTGGAAATCCGGCAGAAAACTAGCCACCACGTCCTGAGAAATATGTTCTGTCTGTTAACTTGCAGTCTGTGAAAACCTGTCCATGTGTAAAATCAGACAAGGTTAGACATGAAAGAATGCCCTCAGACTATTCACATGTTAAAATCTGTGGAAAAAATATCACTCTTGAAAGAAGAAAACCACTGACGAAACCCCATCAGAAACATGCTGGCTACCAGTGCCTGGGACAAACAATGGTAGGGTCTTTTCTTTGAATGAAAAGAAGTTTAATAGCTCGGATTACTATTTGTACCAATACTATTTGTCTGTTATCATAAAAGAAGATGCTGTACTCCTGTGAGCAGCTGGAAAAGGATCTGTGTAAGTAAGGATGACCTTTGGATACTGTGGAAAGACAATATAGTTGTACTTAAGAGTCATAACTTAGACATACCAGTGCAAAATTTGGCCTCAACTAGAGAGAATGGTGCAAAACCAGGGGATGCAATAGTTGGATCTTCCAGCAGATTGGTACCGATACCTTTCATTGGTTCAATAATCGACTTCTTCCACTTGAAAGGAATACATCTTAACTGGATGGTACTCTGCCCAGACCTCAATCTGATCGAAAACTTGAGATTTATAGCCCGAGTATTTAAGGTGATCGTTTGGCTACGAGACCTTGTTCGTCAGTTTATGCAAATTATGCTAATTCAAGTAGATCAAAGAACCAGAGTTAGCAATCAAAGCAGCTTGGGAGAAAATACAACTGCAACACTGTCAGTCTTTATATCTATGGAGAATCATATTCTCTGTGTAATATTAAATAAACATACTTGTTGTGGGTGGGCACAACCATTAATGTTCCAAGGGCACTACACAAAGTTAAATGGAAGGGTGGTACAGAGAAGTCTTGTTCACTGAGTTATATTCAAATTGATTGTAAACTGTATGGATGACGGGAACATACATGCACTAGTGTAGCATGGCCAAATGACTCAGATTCTGTGTGTTTTGTGAGAATACATTGGGAATTTCCATCCCAAAATCTCACAATAGGGTCTATTTTTTCCCATTATAAACTTTTATTCACACTCATCAAAACAAGTACCAAAGAATTCTGAGCCTCTACTTTATGAAGCAAGTCTTTCAAGTAAGGTCCAATACCAAAACATGGAAAGATTGCAGAAAAAAGTTTATTGTCTTCAGTGAAATTGAATGATAAATATTTTTTTTAACAACATTCAGGGTCCAATAAATCTCATCCTTTAAAACTGAATCCGTAAGAATGGCGAACACAAAGGAATTACGGGCTTTTTCAAATTCTTATGTCTGAGATCATTGACGTCTTTTTCCTTTTAAATTTTCCCACCCTGTGGACACTAAGAGAGCATTTTTAGCAATCTTGCTATGGGTTTGGTTGGATGATGAGGGACAGGGACACCTGAAAAATTCCTGGAAATTTTGACCCATCTAGATTCAATCCTGGGTTCCTAGAGCCTTAACCGCTCATCAGATCATCTACAACATCATTACTATTACTTGGTGCTCCACAGTGTTTTGTCCTGTTGAACAAAGAACGTAAGAATTTTTGGCAATTTCGGAACTACACATGTTACTTTTTGTACAAGCCGTCTTCTTGGGGCAGCAACTTACCTATTACCGACTTTGCATTTTCAAACCCACTGGCTTTAATGAACAAATAGGTAAGGTTTAATTTTTCTTTGCAGTTTGTATGCAGATAAACTGAGTATCCACGCAGTAAAAACCCATTTCTTATCGAATGATTTATCGCTATTACTAACATTTTAAGCAAATATTTATTTTCTAATTTTGCCGAGGAAATCTAAAACAGATAGTATTGTCGTATTTCGATTTACTTGCTTTATTTTTTAAACTAATTAAATTGATTTCTGCTCTCTAACATTTACGGTTTGTAACAATTTTTGAGTCGGAAGTACAACGAATCTCTGCAATTTAATTATTGAAAACTTTCATATTATCTATTTGTAATAGTTTGAGACTGCATTCTAGCAAAAATTATTCTTTATTTAAAATGCAATGTATTTACAGATGTATACAAGTTTATGCAAAATCTGAGTTTTGAATTTTTCAGAAATTTTCTCTGAAGAAAAATAATATGATTGTGTTAATGTAATATAAAACTCCGGCATCGAACTTCTTCCATAAACGTCTTTTCCTTTCGGAGTCGTTTGAATAAACAACCGGGATCAGTCATCTTCGTCGTCGTCTACTCTTCTTCTGACGTTCCTCTTTGCATCCGATATGTTTTTCCTCTTTTTGAAAGTGGCCCGGCAACCGGAGAATTCGGACGACAGGGAACCCACGGTCTTCTCCTTGAAACTCGTTGGCAGCTTCTCTTTGGGTACGGTGATGTTGACTTCTACGTGGTTGTCTGACTTCTGTGGCAACTGTAGGTCTATTTTCGGTTTGTCTCTAGAAAAAAGAACTTTTATAAGTATTATTTAATACAAACAAAGATGTATCAATCAATCTGGATGTAACAATATTTAATTAACTTCTCCCTAGAAATATTCTATAAAACTAATTACTTTTCCTCATCTTAAAACTGAAATTCTAAAGAATACCCAGAGTCTTGGTGCTTTAAAGTAAATTCAAATCAATGGGCAAATAATAAAATATGTGCTCTCTAACAAAAATTAATCCAATTGTAGTGAAATGTCATAGTCAGATAATCATTTGCATGTTCAGTCGACTCGAATGAATGGTCTGAGCTAAGGAACATTTGAAGTATGAACTGCAACGGTGTATACAAAGAGCGATTCTTTCTTTTGGGGACCAAACTTCTGGTGGAGTTTGATTGCACACACTGCTTTCCCATTGAATTTGTCTACTGAAACTGTATGAGAGTTTGAAAGGGGACATATAGCTCTATATTTGGGTTAGAGCAATGTGGCAATTAGATGACGTCGACACAAATGGGTCTCGAATGTCAAAGTCCAGTGGATGGCCTAGGATGATGACGGAATGGGAAGATAGAGTGATTGTTTGAGCATGCATACTGGCACCAGAGTTGTTGCCCTGTCATGCAGGACACACCTCTCGCACAAATGTCTTTGTGGTTGCGACATCTTTTCTTGTCCAATAAGATCTCTTACCTATCAACCACATTTGAGTCCGGCCAAATGTTGCCTGCGACCGTCTGGAATATTGACAACTTAGCCCACCAAACAAACACTATTTGGCAAAAAAATCCACTTTACAAAACTTTACAAAACAATGCCATGCCAGATAACAGCTTGTATTTGGGCAATGTCTCATTGACTTCCTTGCTTAACATAGCACATTCTCTGAATTTAGAATAGTTGGATCATTTATTTTCCTATGCATGTGTACATTGGAGAATATTTCCAATATACAAATGGCGTCTACAATTTGAATGTCAACTGATTGATGTCATTTTCTATCAATATTATTTCGTATTTATAAAACTTTTTAAAGGCAGGGTCGTTTAAAAGTAATACCCCCGGGCAATGTTTCCACCGTAAGGGCAATACAGTTGACCCCCTATAACACTGTTGATTATTCCGTTTTATATGAATTCCATGTTGTACTACTACATACATACTACTACTGAATTAATTAACTAATTGTAATTTTTCTTTCTTTTCTAAATTGTTGAAATTTATTAAAAAGAAAATGTGATCTTTAATTTTACAAGACTTTACAATAATGCTCTGTAACGGTGACGAATGACTCCAAAGACTGCCATTAAATGACTCGACTTAATATCGGGGACAAAGATACTAATGTAACTGGTAAAAAGACAAGAACAAACTATTAATACTAGTTTGTATACTGGTACTCTGCAATCTTATGGCACATGTGGCCCACATACAAAGAAGACCGTTTGCCAAATCCAAATAAACTTGGAGTAACAACACTAAGATATTTAATTTTATTTTAAAGATACATTGAATTATAAGAAGTTGGAGATTTGATAATGTGTTAGTGTACATATAATAAGTATTTGGATGCCCAGTTGTACAAAAACTCTGTTAAATTTAATGTATTGGAAAAGGATGTTGGTACCTACCATCTATTAAGAGTGATTGCTGCAATAATGACAAACTTTGTTTGATGGTATGTTTTGGCCAAAACTGTTTTCCGTTCCTCTACAAGAGAACATTAGTGAAGTTGGCCACTAAAATTGAATAAACAGTGCCAAAGGAACCAGACTAAACTGAATCTGTAGATGCTCACCAGGATTCCGATTAGGACTCTGAAAACCAAACAAGTTTCCTCTTTTATGAACCTTACTTTATAGTAACACTATTGTCATGCTACAGGAAAGTGCTTTCTCCAAAATTATCTAGAATTGTACAGTCCCCCTATAATTACGATTCCTATAAAACTACGAAAAAATTGCTACCGGTANTTTTGGCTTTAATGGTTTAGGGGGCGTAGGAGGTCTCTGCACTTCGTTTTGTTTTGCCACGGCTTTCCTAGCCAATTCTTTTGTATATTCGTCATGTAACGAAGGATCTTTTTCTACATCTTTTTGGAAAGCTTTCAATGCTGCCTAAGTTTATAAACTATTATATTTATTATTTCTTAAAAGTATTGTAAATTTCTTAAATATGTCACATTAGATCTAAAAAAAATTCAGATTTTTTAAATTGATTTTTTTTATAGTTTATGTTTAAATAACATTAATAAACTATTTCATTTAGCAGAAAAAATTTACATAATACACTTCTCATTAAAAGAAATCTGGTAAAAACAGATCTGGTTTGGTAGCTTACAAATTATATCTACAAGGAATGGCAGACCGATCATTAAAATTTCTCCATTGATAGTAGCCACTTCTTGACAAGACTTCCTTTAGCTCTGCATCAAAACCATTGAGGTTGAATTGGTACAGGTCCAGACACATTAAGAACTGGATGGCATCCTATTGCATTTAATTTAGGAAGTATTGATCTCAAAACAAGTGTATGGCATCATTCAGGAGAAAAAGCAAATCCTTTATGCATTATTTGGGGCAAATCGGGAAAAACGGTGGAAAAGATTACGGTATGAACTGCAATTTTGGGTAATGCCGAATGCCTCCAGTTATTATCTAAGGAACAATGAATGCATAGATAAATTGAGGTGATCCTCATGCCACAGGACCTTCTCTGAACCGCTTCCAAAAACAAGTATTTTTTTAACATTCTTGAAACCGTGTCGGTATTTTTTCCTTTGTTCAAAACATGCACGATGTAGTGCAATCACTCGACCACTTGGCATTTTTCATCGTCAACCGAATAAAAGTTAATGACGAAAAATGCCAAGTGGTCGAGTGATTGCACTACATCGTGTTCGAACAAAGGAACAAGTATTTTGGCAAAATAACATTTGTCAATACATTTGTTTACAGTATCTACATAATGAGCTTTGTCCTCTCCTGATCTTCTAATCTATAATATGTCCTCCAATCACGTCTAGGATATGATGAGAAGATGCATTAGAGATGTGCCTCGACCCATAGACAATCGGAGAAATTTACATATGCTAGTTGAAGATGCATGGATAAACATTTCACAAGCAACCGACCATTTAATTAGGAGCATGGCTGCTTGTGCCTGATGCCTATATCAGGTCAAAAAAGTAGCCACATATCTTATTAAATAAACTAACTAATATTTAATGAATTTATTTAAAAACATTATTATAGATATCTGAGTCAATTTTTATCAACTTACAGACATTTCTTGGTGCTACATTTTTCTTTTGACACGAATACATGGACTAGTGGTAATAAACAAGCAAATATTTATCGTGACATTGTCACCATGCCGGGCTACAATTTTTAATCATATTTTTAATTTATTTAATCTAATATATATGCTCTCTACCTCAAATTAGTAGTGTCTTGCCCTTGTACATCATACTTTTCTTGTTAGCAGTAGTCGTGCTGGTCATCTATCTAACACCTTTCGGGGGAAAAGTTTTGAATTGAAATAACATGACTTCTGGTTTGAGTCGGAAGTTTGTGTACAGTTAATCGAGGACTCCTGCCCTAAGCTTTCCATATCTGGTCTCGGCCTTCATCTGTCTAACTCTATTCTTGAGATTAAGGAAGAACAGATAGCCAGATGGATGACAGTGGGAATTTATAAGTCTACAATTTTTTCAAACTGCACCATTATATGCGGTTTAGTGTTACTCGGCATATTATACAGCAGGCCTGTTTAATTATTTGCATGATTTAATTTGAATTTTCAAAACTACATACAGCTCTCCCTTGATAGTCCAACGTTTTTTAATCTGACATGCTCAGTAGTCCGACGCACCTCCCGTCAAGGTACCCGTCCCCGTTACGTGTCTGCTTGCACAGAAGCATGTCGCGACGTGAATCTCCCCATCCAATTCTTACACGATGACACACATTTTGTGTGTTTTATGTGAGCAGTTCTGTTCGAACAGTTGGAGTAGGGAATATTGTAAGCTACTGCTAGCAAAACAATGCAAAATATGTAATTATTTTCGGTAATCCAAACACTTTTGGTAATCCAACACCCCTTTGGTCCCATACCTGTCGGACTATTAAGGGAGAGCTGTAATTGTAATAATAATTATTTATTGTTTCTTAAACGTTCATTGTGTGTGCTAGCATGCAATAGTTTTCAGGGAAATTTTGGATCCTGAAAATATTCTGCACCCTGCCAGCTTCACTTTTTGCTCAAACCCTGGCTCACACTGAAGAGAATGAACAAAATGTTTGTATCGAGAATGTTTCGGCAACAAAGCTATATTTCATTTGTCAGGAAAAGTGAATCAACACATCTGCATGTGGGTTCTGAAAACCCACGTGTAGCTGCCAAACATTCAAAAGGCAGTCCAAAAGTAAATGTGTTTTGTGCCCTGACAGAATATAAAGTTTATAGACTTTTCACATTTGCTGAAAAAACTAACCAGAATTGTGTATCGTGACAAATTGGAGCTATGGTTATTACCACAGCTTCAGAACAACAGACCTAATGCTGTCTTTCAACAAGATGGATCACCACACATCAGTCACAGAGCTATTTAAACATCCAATTTCATGGTGGATAGATATGCTGAATGGATCCTAAAGCTGACCTGCATGGTCACCAAACCTTATGTCCCTGGATTTTTTTTCTCTTGGGATACATAAAGGACAAAGTATACGCACCACATTTGCAAAAGTTTTGTGGCAATGGTGAAGGATTGCATGTGCGAAACTATAGAAACAATTGCTGGACATCGGTTGTGTTTGACAAAAAAGAATCACAAATTATTTTAATGTGTGTTGCATGGTACATGTAAGGCACAAACAAAAACTGTTTCAAATAATGCAAATTTCGTACTGTCGCATTCAATAAATGTTTCTAATCATTCAGGCATTTTAACTCCCGCTATACATCACAAAAAGATTGGATTTAGAAAGCAAATGCCACAATTAAATTAGTTTTTAATATTTTGTTTATTCCCATATACTTCAATGAAGCAAATATATTTTATTTACGTCAGTGCTACTCAAACATTAGTCTGCAAGCAGTTTATTACCGGTTATGACAAGATTTCACTTAAAATTTCGTGTTTATATACAATTTAGTATATAAACATGAAATTTTAAGTGTTATAAGTCTTTTAAAAACATATTTTTAATTTTATAACTTTCATTTTTCTTTATTATTTAAACATTTAGTGCCAGGATGGACTGTCAATTGAAACTGGCCCAGGAAGTTTCTTAAAATCAGCTTGCAAATACATACTTTCAAAATGATTAGAATCAAATTTTGTTATTGTATTTTTCTTACTAATTCAGTCTAAAAAAAGCACCAAATGATTGCTCGATTACATCAGGCTATTGTAAAACTACTATTTAATAATTAAACGTACAGTAATCTGACTAGAAGTAGATATCAGGTGGCATCTTTGGTAAATTTAATAATTAATCTAATCCAGCGAGCATTTGGCATTAATCTAAAAATCGAGTTGAACTCTATTCTTTCCATTTTATAATTATTTAATTTTGCAAAAATATGGGTCAGAGAGGGATAGAAACGAGAAAAATCTGGTCCACAAATACGGAAAGTTTGAGAAGCACTGATTTAGGTGTGTTAAATGCTAGTTTTATTGATGTATAAACAGGTAAAAACTGCGTACTTTTTAAAATCTCAAAACTTAAACTATGCAAAGATCCTGTCGGATCTAACTTTATAATTTAGAAATTGTAATTACCTCTTCAATTTTTTTCATATCCTTTTCAAGTTTCCTTTGTGTTTCATATTGCTTTTGTCCCTTCTTCCTCAACTAATTAAAAATAAATGTAATCTTAAATGAGAAAATGATATAAAAATAAAAATTAATTTTCATCTTATTTTAAATTACATAGATCAAGTTTCTTCACAGTAAATGAAATTAAGTAATCTCCAATTAAAAAGGATTACGTGTGTTTTTCTTTCATTGGAGCTATTGAAATTTTGAATTTAAATGAAATATAAAATAAAACGGGAAGTTATTTAACTTTATTATTGCTGCTAATCAAATAAGTTTTATAATTTTAAAGTGGCATAATTTAAAAACAAGGAACTAGCGAGAGAATTCTAATGATATTAAATAATCGACAACAACATACGTGATTATGAGTAAATTTTACCATAAATTTAAAACTATACATCAACCAAAGCCGAATATTATCGGGCTAGAAACGGCTATAATTATAGCTGTTTTTAGCCCGATAATATTCGGCTTTGGTTGATGTATAGCTTTAAACGTATTGGATGTAGTAAGGATGTTTGATTATAAATTTAAAACATAAAATTTCTAGATTAAGTGAGTGATTAGAAATTGTATACAAGGCGCTCCCCTATACTGCGACAAAAAAATCGTAACTAGTATTCATACAAAATTCTAATTTTGTCATCCAGAGGTACATATTTTCTTCTTTAACTTCTATAACTAAGTTTAAACTTGAATAAAATTATCCGACAACGCAAGTTTTGATTTTCCTATAACACAGAATGTACTGTACCCCCACATTGAATGGGACTCTGTTGTACTTTTTGTTTTGTCTGTTTTACTATTGTATAATTTACTAAAGATAATTAAGTGACAAAGTAATATAATTTAACAGTAATATTTTATATACATATAATAATATATTACTTCTTTAAGCTTTTTTTTCACATTCTCTTGATGTCCTTTGCCTCTTTCGTGAAATTCGATACTCTGTAAAACAAGAACATTTGCTTTAAAAAAGTTTTAAAAAATTGTGTATAAATCAATAATAAGTTTTTAATTACAGTAGAGCGTCGATTTTCCGAAAGTCAATCATCCGAAAGAATTCCAGTCGGCAAATTTAAATTTTCGCCAGTGCTGTGGCGCTTCAATCTTTGGCTATGTCTTGGGCTACTCAAATATTTTACGTTTTTGATACTAAATTAACATCTGAAGTATAATTTTTTATTGTTTTTATATTTTTCAATATATTTATTTTGTTTGTACAAAATAAAAAAATAATTTTTAACGATACAATAGTCTTTGTTAGGCTTAACATCGACGAAAATTCAACGCGAAGCGACATGCAACGGAGAGAAATTTCAACATCGGATACGTTAAACTATTTTTTCGTACATAAATCGGTTATCCGAAATATCAGTTATACGAACAACCCCAGTCCCCAATTGATTCGGAAAATCGACGCTCTACTGTATTATTATTATTTATAGAAAAATATGGTACATCAATCTAGAAAGTTAACTAAAAGTAAGTGGGTTAAAACTGAAATAATTACATTAATTAACGATTAACAAATTTTGAATTACAGATAGATGTATCATCATCTAATACCAATACAGTATTAGAAATGATAACTGAAACTCTGTATAATTGTTAGATTATGAAGCTGATAACTTACTGCAGAAATTATTTTGTGCACACAAAAAGACAAGACAAGATAAGACAATGGAAATGCAACATAACTTTCCAATTCATTCAGACTACAGACCAAAATAAGCTGCAATATTCCCTCTTAAGTAAGGATCTCGTTCTGTAAACAAAACAATATCTAATAAACTAAACAACGTATGACATTGAAATCTGGCAGGTGCAGAGAAGACACATTACAGGACTTTTCAGAATCATCAAATTGAGGAATGGCAATTACATGCATCATAATTACATGTGAAAAATCAGCAGAAAATCACCACCTTATGCATGTGATTGCGGGTTAATCTACATTCCCATACTGTGTGTACGCTCAATTTTCGAGTAACAAATTTTAACAAAAAGTAATCTAACACTGAAAATACAGAAAAAATAATAACCGGAAATAAAAAAGTGAACTGTTTGCTGCCCTGCTGTTTACACGAGCCACATCACGGCAGCTTACAGTCTGAATTAGAATAAGGCTTGTTTTAATTTAATACAATAAACAGTGCTTATATTTTATTTGTTATTTTTCTCATAACATACATTAAAATAAGGAAAGACCACAGAACAAACAACCCACCAGGAAATTGGGAATTTCCAGTGAGCCAGTTCACCACTGGTAAAGTTTCTTTCATGTGAACTTACTATGAGTACATAAAAAATTTGAATGGAGAACAAATTGTTCTGAAAAGGAGTACATTACAGATGTTCCTGAATAAGCTCAAAGTAAAAATAACAATTTAAAGAAATCAATGTTCTACTGTATTACAAAAAAATTAATTATTATATTTTTCAGTTAACTCATTTCGACAGTAATTCTAAAATCATTTGTAAAATAGAGGGACGACTTTAGAAAAAGTCCAAGTGTAGAATATCCCCTCCCTTTGGATACCATCCAGTAACATATTTTCTTTTCTGTAACTTGTCCATAAAGACATTTTAGAACATTTTTCCTGCAATTTTTCTACAAAGTCAAACCATAAAAGTCAAATTATGAAGAACACAAAAAACGATTTTGTACGGCCGTCCAGTTAAATTTTCAGTATATATTTACAATCGATACATCACTCTATTTCTAAAGATACGTCACTAAAAGACATCCAAAAACTGTAAAAGAATCTACATGCACCTTTGATAAAGCTCTTTAAAAAATAAGTATTCTCCAGTTGTTTTTATTTTATTATGCAACATTGGCCCAGAAGTTATTTTTAGATCTTTTTATACACTTAATATTTATTCCTTTCTAAACTCCTGTTAACTTTGTATAACTTTGTTTAAAATGATTGAAAATATTAGAATAATCTTCTTCGGGAAAAACATTCCAATAAGAACAAATTCCTAACCATTTTTTAGAACATTTTTCCCGAAGAAGATCGTTTAAAGCAATAGAAAATGTTAGAATAAAGTTATATATACTGCATTAAGATTTTTGAGCGAGTCTTTTTATACACATATAAACAAACAGCCAGGTCATTGAAAGCCTGGTACAGGGTCCGGGAGTAGAGCGGGTCTCTTTTGTCTTGTTTCAAATAAATGAAATACATAGAATGTTTATTAATAAATAGCATTCTTAAAGATTATTTTTCTTAGTAAAAATAACAATAATTTATAAGGGAAGAGACCATTATGATCCATAACTTTTCTATAGGCAAGAGAAAAATCTCCAGCTTCCCCCTCACAGCTTACTGATCTGGGGTTAAGCTAGCAGATATATAGATAGATAGTCTCTAAGGACCCAAATCAAATCCAGATTAGTGAAAAATCCCAGAATTCTTTAGGGTTTTTCCCATTCTTAGGATAAGTCGGGCCCATCTCTCACCATCTGGCTCGGCCGAAACCATAACAGGTTTGCTAAAAATGTCCTCTTAGGTCACACAGGGTGAAGAGTTGAAAAAATAAAAGCTTGCCTCTCTTGACAGCCTTGCAAAGAAGATGCAAGAATAACTTCTATCAACATTGGACTTTAGTTATTCAATGGCATTCTATCAATTAAATTATTTGTTTTAATTTGTGGTAAGATTGCAGATGTAAATGACACCATTGGGACCTTAACAGAGCTGTAGAGCATACCCATAGGAACAAAACAGTTAACGGAAACATACCTCTAAATGATGGCAGTTTCGACTACCATCTCACTTGCAGACGTCACATTTGCAATCAAGTTGTTTTAGGCACGGCAATCAGTGCCCGTAACAAATAAACGCATTAACTTCTACCAACAGAAAACTGTGTTTACAGCACAACTGTCTATGCTCTACGCTCCACGTCGGCAAAGGCTTACTACTGTTTGCCTCGACCGACAGTCCACGGGTAGTCGTGCACTTCGGCAACCGTGCGGGAGGGAGTCCCCACACCTCCCCTAAAACTACATATCATTAACGGTAGAGCGTGCCACTACAAGCCGGCATAGTCACCTGGGTGAATAGTTAAACGTGACAGTCTTAGCAGAGCGTTCAGCACGACTCCCAACCGCACTCAGAAGTAGACTGATTTCGGAGGTTTATATCTCGCAAACGAACACACGTAAAAATACAGTTTCTTTGTCTTTTTTTGCTTGCTCTACAGCTCATTTAAGGTACCAACAGTGTCATTCGCATCTTCAATTGTACCTTAAATCTTACCCCTCCAGAAAAGTGAAGGAGACTTAAACATTGTAAAATGTTTATGATATTGGTATTATATTTTTAAAATAATAATTGTGTTCTGTCTAATTCAAAAACGACACTTACAACTTTATTATCAGCAAACCAACATTTGCAAAATTCGCAAAACTTTCGGGGAAGAGATTTCCAATATTCGGACCTGTGTAAAATAAATTAATACTTAGTTACATACACACGCAAGCATCTCGAATATATTTTAATATTAAAGCTACTTACATTATTATAAATAGAAATTAACTTGTAAATTTCAACATATGATTTTCGTTGTGTACTTTCGCCACAGTGTTGCCATCTTTGTATTCTATTCTGAATTTTATATAAAAAAAAGTTTTAAATATTTATAGTAATAAATAGATCTTATATATATATTTTTAATATTTTATTATCCTGTTAAAGTACTTTAAGCTTACAGGTAGAGCGATTCTCCTAAATTTGTGTGTTTTTTTTTTTTTTTTTTTTACAATGTCGGTTACTCTTTCGTAGGTGGCGCTATTTAGTTTCTATTACGAACACGTGTTTTTCAGCATCCAATTCCACCAGAAGAATCAGAAGAAGAACACGTGTTTTCGAGTTACGCATTCAAACTAGGAAACGGATTAATGTAGGAATGGATAATGGTGACGATTTATACGTTGAAATAGGGACTGTAACGGACGAGACAGTGGAAGTGCCCGTTTATACTTATATAGCCATGTTTGTACTCGATTGTTGCGAAGTTTATGACATTAATATTTATTTTGTTAAATCAAATGCATCTTCACAGTTCTGTATACCTGTAAAAGTCACGGAACACTTTAAATTTAAATTTATCGAATTCGATGATTTACCTCAAAACGTAAGTTGGATTCGTTACTACAGAAATATATAATGATATAATTTTTAATGAAGACGGTTGCAGATATTTATGTATAGAGTTTGAAAATATAGATTATATTAGTCGTCCTTACAACTATAATTGGGCTGACTTCATACAAAATAATTAAACGTGCTGTTGCTATGTAACCACTTGTTTCAGCTCCTATGTGGTAGAGTTTTATGTTTGAAGTTGACAAGTTTTTTTATGCAGTGGGATGTGAAGAGCATTACTTGCAGATTTGGTAATTCTACGACAAAAATTTACAAGAAGAATTCGTAGATTACGGGACGGCATCCCACATTCGTGCATTATACACACACATTATAAATACACAAAACACATATGACACTTATTATATTTCTAAAGCACATTGCAATACTGGAGAATGAGACTAAGCCTCGAAATTTGACATGTATACAAGAACAAATGAAATAATCTGAAGCTGAAACTATTGCTGTAATATTCTAAGAATAATATGTATTTTTGTGTTTTTAGTTTGGAGGAAAAACAAAAATTTTTAGCTAATTTATTTTTTTAAGAGTGTCACAGAATCTGCATTTTTATATTGGTATAACTCATTGAAATTATAAGTTAAAAGTTTAATATTAACTAGGTGACGGCCGGATGGCCGAGGCAGTTAAGGCGTCGACATACCACTCTTGGGGACTCTGGGTCGTCAAAAAATCACAGAATTTTTTATGAGCAGTTTGTCTCGGATCTGTTGGATTTTGTGCCTTGTCACCTGGTTGCCTTCGTTGTGGGCCTGGTTGAATCCGTAATGGATGTGAAAGGAGGATCTTTTAAAACCCTTAGGGGGGAAGAGTTTAAAAAGCAAATAAATAGAAAATTGCTTTTAAATCTATATTAATTAATTAATTAACTTTTTCATTTATTTAGGTAAAAGACAGTCATTTTCCTGTTATTCATTCGGTTAATTCGTTGACGTGCATAGGAGGTTTGTGTGCAGTAGTCAGATGGGCGATCAAAACAAATCCAAATGACAGCTACTCAGATTTATTAGTAAGTAGCTTAAATATATTATTAATTAGTTTAGATTTAATTATTTTGTATTTTTGTAAGCTATTTAATAAATAAATAAACTATGAGAACATTTGAAAGATGCATTCATTTTACCTAAATAGTGTTTACTATTTGGACAAAATGAATGCATCTAAAATATATTAACATTACAAAATTGTAATATTTGAAAGGAAAATACTACGAGGTCTGTTCAAAAAGTATCGGACTTTTATTTTTTCCACGTAAACCAATGATGCGTGAGAGGCCTCTTTCGGTAGAGTTGTGGAGGGGACAGTCGTGCACAGCCCTGAATTTTTTCCCGCCTGCAGGAAGCGTCAGTCATTGGCAGTCGGCCTATGAGTGAGGTCATGTAGCGAGCTCTCGTCGGATTCCACTAAGTTGGAAAATGACTGAACAACGTGAGCAGTGATATTACATCAAATTTTGCCAAAAACCTTGGCGATACCCGAGCGTAAACCATTCGCAGGATTCAGCAGGCTTTCGGGGACGATCCTCAAGGCCAAAGAAAGCGCGGCAGGCCCGCAGAAATATCAAGGTCATGTTGACAGTTTTTTCGACTCTCGTGGGGTGGTGTATGGTGAGTAAGCACTACGAGGCCAATTCATCGCAAAGAAGTACTACCAGGAGGTCCTTCGTCGTCTTTCCGATGCTGTGCGACGCAAACGACCGGATCTGTGGTCAATCAAAACTTGGCAGCTCCATCGTGATAACGCATCCGTCCATTCTGCTCATCTGATTCGGGCTTTTGTCGCCAAACACAACACTCCTGTGGTTTGTCATGCTCTGTACTCTCCCCACGTGGCTCCATGTGACTTTTGGCTATTTCCCAAGCTGAAAATGCCGCTAAAAGGAACCCGATTTTAGTCGAGAGAAGACATCGTGCGGAATGCGACAGTCCAGCTGATGGCCATTCCAAAAGATGCATTCCAACAATGGCAGGAACGCTGGGAGAAGTGTATACACTACCAAGGAGACTACTTTGAAGGGAATTAGGGTTTTGTACCTCAAAATCAATAAATGTATTTTTGCTGACCAAATGTCCGATACTTTTTGAACAGACCTCGTATTTAAAGGAGAATATTTTAATGCATTAATACGGTCGACTTGTTAATATAAACTCGGATGGATGGCATAAACAGTTCATATTAAAAGACCATTTCCAGATGCAATGGAACAAAAAAAAAGAAGTAATTCTAACAACGCATTAACACCACATGGCAAACAGAATAATGTTTAATTAATCAGAAATACAAAACAAAGGCTCTGTATTGCCCACGAGAAGCATGTGTCACAGGGTGACTGTAAACTGTCCTATTTGTACGCCAACTGATTTGAAATGTTTTTAAATTTAATTTTTAATTAATTTATTAATTTCAAATTCAATCTTTAAATTTCAAAAGTGGGGAAAAAATGTTAATTTACTAACATGCCTTTGATTCGAATAAGTAGAATGCACCAATTCAGTTTTTTTTGTTGTTTTGTTTGAATTAACAAGAGTGTACTGTATATAAAAATGTCGTATCATTTCTAGTACTTTAATAATAATTTTGTAATTATTTACTGTAATATATGTAATACTACATTCATTTATGCACATAATGAGTTTCATCTCTAAACAAGTGATTTATTTATAATGTAGGGGTTTAGAAATGGATGTTTAATGGCTTGCTCAGAAGTAAGTAAACTTTTATTTATTTTTAATACAGTGTGATTCAAATTAAAGCCTATTAGTTTTGTGGCAATGGTGAAGGATTGCATGTGCGAAACTATAGAAACAATTGCTGGACATCGGTTGTGTTTGACAAAAAGCTTCGTACCAAGTTTTTGGCTTTAATGGTTTAGGGGGCGTAGGAGGTCTCTGCACTTCGTTTTGTTTTGCCACAGCTTTCCTAGCCAATTCTTTTGTATATTCGTCATGTAACGAAGGATCTTTTTCTACATCTTTTTGGAAAGCTTTCAATGCTGCCTAAGTTTATAAAGTGTTTCAAACCATGATGACAATCAGTGTGAACAAAGCACTGCTGGAATGAAACACAATGCTAGTAAAGAGGCATCCTCTGACTATTAGTATTAGAGGATGCATGCAGTGTGATAGTCATGATTAAAAACCAGAAGCTGATACTTCAAGATAGCATTCTTAACTGCAACACACAACAGATCTCCTGTTGCAGTTAATAATTACAGTTTTTATTAAAATTGTCAGTAACTAAATATGTCTGTGCTTGAATAAGCTAATGCCCGCCACTGTTCGACTGGATAAAACCACCGAACACTGGTAGTTGGTCGTGGCTTCTAATGTTAATTAAATGTAGAGAAAAATATGCATAAATAATTCAAGTATTTTCATTGAAATCTTTTAGTGTTAAAGAAAATTTTTTAATGTAATAATTTATTCTTAATTTTAAAATATAGAACTCAATATGGACCAAATTTTGTGAAGTTGACATGCCTAATTCTGTAAATCTGTTGATTGATCGAAAAAGGTAAACGTTATATTAATATTCTGCATGTTAATAAAAATCATCATCAAAACATCAATTATTCATTTACTTTTTTAATTAATTTCTAACAAACATTCATTTCTTTTTCATAAATTTTGTGAAATTGTCATTTCTCCCATTATTAGGGATCGGTTTCACACCAAAATCAATTCATTAAATAATTGAATTTCTAATAATGAGGAAAACGATGATTGGATTTGTAAGATGTTTTGTTAAAAGTAGAGATTTTGGACTTGCGTCTGAAATATTGGAACTTGTTAGGCAAAGAAACAAAGTTTTCAACTTATGGAATCATAAGCTGTTTTCAAAATACAGGGTGTTTCCCTCAAACATCCCTAGTTTTAAATTCAATTTCACTTACAACACCAAAAATCCAGCTTGTAACATAAAACGATGGAGAGAAACAAACATTTTCAATTGCAATTGTCTTCAAGTTAAAAAATGTATTCGGGAACAAATATCAGAATAGAATAAGACATGGAATATTATAATCAAAAATATAAAATGAACATGTGATTGGCAGTCAGTGGTCACATGGTTGCATTGGGATGTAAAAAGTAATATTAAATATCGAATAATGCTCTCCAAGCCGCGGATAACGTGTCGTTTGTTTTATACTTTTAAATATAACATTCCATCTCTTGTTCTATCTGTTTCCAAATATGTTTCTTAACTTGAAGATGATTGCTAAAGGCAATTGAAAACATTTGTTTTTCTCATTGCTTTATGTTACAAGCTGGATTTTGGTTTTGTAAGTGAGATTCATAATTCTTCAGTACGTAGTGCATTTATTACTTAGTTTTAAACTGTTCTGTAAACCTATTTATTCAGATACGTGAATAAAATGTGTTGGAGAACGTTGGTCAAGACTTCAAGATCCCTGGTTTTATGTACGTATGCTCGAAAGGGCGAGGTGACAAACTGGACTTCCACTGCCGCATGGTCTAGATTGCCGGTGTCCCTTTTCTCATTATGTCCGATCACCCAACATTGTCTCATTGAACTGTTTTCTTTGTGGACACCTCAAGGATTGTGTGTATGCTACAAATATTCCCAAACAATCCTCAGAATTATTTATTGGACTATACTAAGGCTAATTTAAAATTATATTCAATAAAACACATATGAGATTGTGGCATAACTGCCTACTTCTTGCCAAATTGCTTTATATCTAATTAGTAAATTGGCCCTGATATAGCCAGAAATAATCTGGAAGATTGTTTGGTACATTACTAATTGAATTGGTTTGTTGTATACAGGGATGGAGAGTCTAAGTCAGGAATCAGAATCAATTTTAAAAAATACCAAGTCGGGAGTAGGGTATTTTTCCGCCAACTTCCCATCCCTAGCTGTATATGTCATTATATGTCAAGTAGTGAAGCTGAGCAATTCATTTTTCTATTTGATTAGGAGGGGAAAAAAACACAAGTTCATCTCTTTTGGCAAGTGTTCGACCATCTCATTGGGAGTGAGAATATCTGAACTTTTGCCGAATTTTGGTTCATTTGACTAATCACCTTTTCACAATTAAGTGTTTGAAAACTTTATAACCATGCATGTCCTAACGTAGTTTGTTTCACATAGTATGATGCAGATAATATTTTGTTTCAGTTAGTGTTTTTGTTTGTTCGTATTGGTTTGTATGATAATGTAGATCGAGATTTACTCTTTAACAAGGAAAATTTGAAAATATATCATTCAATAATTGACATCAAACTTACTAATAAATTTTAATTATTTTTAACATTTCAAGCTATTTAAAATAGCTTTTGTCATCTCTCTAGAATATGCCATTTGATAGAAATGTAGTGTGGAGAAAGTTGTGTGCTAAATGTAAAAAATTCTTTAGATATATACAATAAACCCCTGCTAACTAATGGGAGTAAAGGTTAGCTGAGTTAGCTGGATGTTTTCTGTGACTAACTTGTAAGGTTAGCAGGTGTGTATCCACTTATTGACAATATGAATGATATCATAAAGACTTCCGGATATCAAGAACAATTGTTAATTGTCAAGAAATTTTAAATTACTGTACTGTACAATTTTTTAAAAATTTGTCCAAGTTAGCAGGGATTTGCTTTATTAGTGTTTTTCATAACATTTTTTTGTGTTAGTAATAGAAACGAAGAATCTGTCTTACCATCAGATTTATTGAAATTGGAATTTCATCTTCAACATCCTGTAAAAACTCATAATATTTTGAAAAGAAAGCAAGAGTTTGTAAACAAAATGAAATCCCATCAAAATAACGAATCCCATTCCGGCAAAGACGTTTTCGAGATGTCATCTTTAAAGGAGTCGTTAGAAGAACAATTAGAAATAAAGAAAAAATCGTCTTCCCCTCCGTCCGAATATACGATGGATAAAAGTTGCGTCAATGTTAAACTACCACACATTTACGTGGAGGGTATAGATTTTACTATAGCTGACGTAATTCTGTTACCTACCGTTCATCATCTCTTGGTAAGTATTAATTCTTTCACTTCAGGTGATGTAAATTTAAAATTCCAATTTTATTTTATTCAAGACAGAGTTAAGACCTTGGAAATCCGAAATAGAGCGTAATCTTCCGTTATTATTAAACTGGTATCGCAGGTTATTAAAAAACGAATATATTTCAAAATTAATTGATACTTGGAAATGGGTTAAATGGGAAGATATATTTATTGAAACGTATAGAAATGATATAAAAATACCAGAAATTCAAAAGGAGAGTTTGTATACTAGGTAGGTTACTTTCATTACATCTTTACAGTGTTGAAAAAGTTACTGTGCTGTGAAAAATTTGTAATGACATTAAAGTTATATGTACAATACAGCATCACATACGAGACCCGTAAGTCATATGTCCTGCATTTCTACTTTCAGTTACTGTTTGCTCACATATGTTTGTTTTTGGAAGACTTCTTTGTCAATTGAATAATTTCCTATAGAATCTGGACCTTACTTCCCCAGATTTTGGGGTTTCGGAGGGACATTTTCAGCATTTGCTGTAGGAGAAACCGCAATATCATGCATAAAACTGTACTTAAACCCTTTCCACTACACAGTGACTTTTCAGACATCCTGTATTATGAATATGATATATTTCAATTCAACACATATTGGAATTTTCTTTCATAAATGCATAACAAGAAAATTTAGTTTGTGGATCAGTTGTTTTATATATATATATATATATTTTATTATATTTTAGAGATCCTTTGAGATGTAAACCTAGGATGAGGAATCGTGATCCTGCTGAAATTATTGATAAATTGACGGTAAGATTTCAAATTTATTTTTAATGCTCTCTATTTCAGCTGCTAAGAGTTTTTTATTTATTAATTATTTTTATTGTTTTCCTGTTTTAAAAATTGTTCAGATTGCTGGGGTATGCCCGTATTATAGTGCTCACCCTTTCAAAAATAACACAAGTCTCGAGTGGGAAGCATTACCGAGGGCAGTTCATCCTGCGGGAGGTAAATATATTTTAAATATTTAAAAGATATTTATGATCTATTGCATTATTGTATTGCTGTAATTAATGATTGAATTACCAGTAAATTCGATAAGAACAGATAGAACACACAATAATATTTTGAAGCCAAATATTTATTTGCATATATGTGGTTAATAACTGGATATATATTAAATTTGACTCATCAAGAAACATCCACAACATAGTTGAAAATGCTTGTACATTTTTAAACTTATGTTGAGTAGCCATTGTCAGGTACTCAATGTTCTAAAAACAGAACAAACATTCTAAATTTGAAAAGTTGAAGGCGAGTTTAATTGGAAGGGATCCGTGATTTCAAAAAGTGCCGTCCGATAATTTGCAGGTATATCACAGTCATTAAAATTAATCGGTGTATTTCTTCTGTTGGCCCTATAAATTTCTAATTTTTTCAGAGCTTTAATTTGTGTTTCATCACATACTTGTTGGATTAATGAGCATTGTTAAACTGTATGGACACGTAATTGTCGAGTGTGTAGTCAGCTAAGGGTCGTGTCCAATTATCCCTTATTGATAGTGGCTTGATGTTCTTTTCTCTTATGATCTTGTCGTGGCTCCAATACATATGAAAATTATTTGCTTATGCTTTTGCATACATTAAAGACAGAAGTGTAAATTGTTTTTACAGTATTTAAACTATAAAAGCAGTTTAAATCATTTTTCTTTTAAGTTATTACTTTACAGTTCTTTACAATTTTTAAAGTATCATATTACAGCATTCATTTGAATGCGGGAACTCACAATGGCCATTTTTTAATCTGGAAACTAAAAAATTACAGCACGTCCCATTTTTAGACAATGAAGCTGTTGCTTTTCAACACAGAATGAAGGGACGTAGTGCAGTAGTATTTGTTTCATTGTTGCTGACTTACCGATAAGTCAGTAACTAAATGATTGCTGGTGCGCTAATTTACCACTCAGGTACATTTTTAAAATTTATCATTCACAAGTAATGAAAACAATGGTAAAATTTGCAACTTCTTAGTTGTAATAAAATAAAATGCTCATAAATATTTATGCATAGTGTAACTTTATTTTTTAACCATTTAAACTCTGAAAATTTCTTCTTTTTCATAACTGGAGATGAAATTGTTTATACTCCTCAGGCTACAAGGAGAATTTGTATAGCAAAACCAGTCAAACAACTTTCCTTTCAGCAAATTATGTCTCAAACGGATTAAGCCGATCTCATGTTTAAATGGTTAATTCAGTCATTTTTCATGGTCGTGCATTTTATCACAATAATTAATAAATAGATTTTTCAAAAAGTGGGAGTTAAATATCTGCCTTGTTTCAATAAATATGTTTTTGAGAATTTAATAAACTTCTCAAAGTTTTTTGGTCATATTTTAAATGATTTTTTGGACCATCTTTAAGAACTTGAACTGCAGAATTGAAAAAGTCTGCTAATTTACTAGTTTTCTAGAAATTATATGAAACAATTGATGCTCATCATTAATTTTCTTCTATGAAAATGTATGTCTTAAAAATTTCAGGAATATTTCTCCTTAATATATAAACCTCCCTGTGAAATTTCTGACAAAAGGCACAAAAGTTGTTAAGCTTCAAAGTGAAAGAAAAAAAATCAAGCCCTACACATACACACACACTTCCATACGCGTACAGAAAAAAAGGGGTTTGTTTTTTGACCAATCACCATACTTTCCCTGTGTTATAGTACAGCTGGGAATGTAAAAATGAAATATTTTGTAAACAATAAAGTAAGATGTAAATGAAAATTTAGATAATATCACCTCTTTCAGTGTTAATTTTTATGATATAATCATTAAGATTCTAACGTACTTAACTAGTTAATGTTTAACAGAACTAACATTATCTTCTAATTTATAATTTTTAGGAGATTTGCCATTAAATAGAATAATGAGAAAATGTCATCAAGTCGAAAGTATCGTTACGGCCGTGTTATCGTTAGCCGTTCCCGGTAATCTGATAGTCGATTTCTGTGCGGGTGGCGTATGTGAATATTGAATTTTTCTTCTTTTTATAAAATAATTTATTATAAATTCTCTGTTCAAATTGAACACAATATAATCTCATCTGTCATCATCTATCTACATTTTATTAAAATATAATTTAATGTTTTTCAAAAACTATAATTTTGTGTGAATAACCTGCAGGTTATACGTCAATGTTAAAATATATTGACAAACTTGTTAAATGGCTTTCATTTGCATAAAGTCATTAAAAAATCTTTGGAAAATGCAAAAGATTCTTTGCATACCACAAAGTTATTCGTGTCGTCGTGATTTTTTCCAAAAACACATGTACAGGATGTCCAAAAAGTTACTGTGCAGTGGGAAATTTGAAATGCCATTAAAGTTTTACAGATCTCGTGTAATGCCCAACATTTCCACTTTGCAGTAGATGGTGGTACTGCTTATTCAGAGACGTTCTGGTTTCTGGCAAATAATTCTTCCAAGAACTAATCTCCTGTCAAATCTGGTCTGCCGGGTCTCCAGATTTTAGGACCTCTGGAGACATTTCTGGCATTTAATATAGGAGAAACTGCAATATTATATGTAAAACTTCACTTTTATTGAAATTTACTTAAAGCTTTTCCACTGCACAGTAACTTTTTGGACACCCTGTAAAGTAAGTGTACTTCTTAATTATTTTCTTATTACAGATATAAAAGTAGATCATTATAATGAAAAATATCCTCGAACAGTAAACATTGGAAATTTGCAGTTTAAAATATTATGGTTATTATTCAAATAATAACCATGATTTATTTGATCCAAATAGCAAATATGGTTACTGGTACCATATTTGCTATTTGGTTATTTAGATGTAAGTAATCGGTTTGCAAGCCAATGTGATGAATTGTATAGTTTTGTGCATGATTTGGCATTTTCTACAAGTATAGTCTTTAAATGATATGTCTTTTAAAATGTGCTTCCTGTAGTTTTTTTATAATTATGAACTTGGTCTTCCAATCACAAATCCTTTCATTTCTCCAAACAGATCTGTGAGTCAGCCATTAGTTCACAGTTTTTTCTGTTAATGTCATCTTGACTGAGCTTGTTATGGTGTCTGCCATGGAGCCAAAGTCTGCTCAAAGGTGTCTTTGCATTTTGCTTAGGTTTCATGGTGTACTGTTTTTGTCTGCAAGAGTTACATCTTTGTGTAATTGTGATATTTCTTGTTTTCTGAGGAAAAAAAACCTAGTGTTTGTATTTGTTTACAGCAAGGGTTTATTGAAGTAGAACCTGCACAAATCGGAATCTCGCAGTGCTGAATATTTTTTCCAGTTTGGCAGGTTTTTCAACACGGAAAAATCACTTTGTTCCAAAGAATTTATTAAGGCAGGTTCCATTTTGGACAGATTTTAGTGCCTATCTGTAAGCGTAGAGGACTTACATGTTTTGGAGTTTGTCCAATGTATAACTCCAAACGAATATGTCATTACTGGAATAGTATGCAAGTTTATTGTTTTAAATGTGATTTTGCATTGAGCTATGTTCTTAATACAGTAGAACCCCTCTAGTTTGCCCTCGGCTAGTCCGTCATTCCGGTTAATCCGACCGTGGTCGGAGTCGAGAAACTTGTCCCGACTTGTCGGTGACTCACCGTCCGTGGCATTTTTCTGTGTTCGTTACAATATATGTTTTATATTGTGTGTACATGTACAGTTTTGTGTGTGTTTTCAATATGTAAAGAGTGAAACGTAAACACGTTACTCTTTCATTAAATTTTCATTTAATGAAAGAGTAACGTGTTTACGATTAGCAGTGCTACAAAGACTAGACAAAGGAGAAGATTGTTTATTTTACTTTTTTCTGATAATCCGACCTTTCTTGCGTTCCGACCATACCCCCAGTCCCAAAGGTGACGGATTAGAGGGGTTCTACTGTACTGAGAATAATCTATTAAAATGCTTTTTCACCACACCGGGTTGTATATACTCCAAATCAACAACTATCTACAATTAACCAGTAACCGGTGCGAAATTCTTTAAAATCAGCAAACGTTTTAGATTCCCCTCCTGGGATCTTCTTCAGGCTCGCTTTTTTATACCTTTCGTTATAACCGGATTCTTTAATTCAAATGTTTTTGAAAAATATGGAACGTGCCATTTTTCGAAAAAATTTCCGAAAATGGAAGGAATCCACATGTTATTTCAAATATAATTTTCTACCAATGGGGATTCGTTGTGTGTAACACCTCATAAAATTTATCATATAAATATATTATGATTTATCGTCAATTAAAAATTGCCATGCTGCAGAGAGATTTATTTCTTCTTTGAAATTAATGCATGTGGATTTGCAATCGGCTTTAAAGATTTCCACTGCCTCCAAAGTTCTTAGTTGTTCCTGGTGTTGGGTGGTGCGAATAACATGCGCATCATCGAAGAAAGGTGTGATGTCCGGGTTTGTCGCATACGTAGATAGGGCCGTCGTACATTTATTATGTTCGATGTCTGATTTATGTTCTTTTAATCTTGTGGCCAATGAACGCTTGGTGGATCCGATATACACTAAAGGTCTATCCCATCTGTTATCTTTTAATGGAATACTGTATATCCCTGGCAGCCTATTTGGGTCTGAATTGTCCTTCCCGTTCCTTAATAAACTGTAAATGGTTGGGTTTCTTTTGTATGCAATATTAATTCCTTTTATTTTTGCAATTTTTTCGTACATTGCCTTTAGATGCGGGTTATACGTTATTGGTACCTTCTCTACTCTATCCTCATTTCCATTATTTAGTACCTCTACCTTTTCTTCTACACGATTCTGCAAACGCTGGTGCTGCATACGTAAACCTTTTATAATATTGCTGTAACCATGCTCTTTAGCGATCTTTCTAATGTAATTTAATTCTCGTTGGAGGGTTTGGGAGGTGGAAGAATGCATATATGCTCTTTCTACTAATGCTCTAAACGCCGCTTTGGAGGCAGTGGAAATCTTTAAAGCCGATCGCAAATCCGCATGCATTAATTTCAAAGAAGAAATAAATCTCTCTGCAGCATGGCAATTTTTAATTGACGATAAATCATAATATATTTATATGATAAATTTTATGAGGTGTTACACACAACGAATCCCCATTGGTAGAAAATTATATTTGAAATAACACGTGGATTCCTTCCATTTTCAGAAATTTTTTCGAAAAATGGCACGTTCCATATTTTTCAAAAACATTCGAATTAAAGAATCCGGTTATAACGAAAGGTATAAAAAAGTGAGCCTAAAGAAGATCCCAGGAGGGGAATCGAAAACGTTCGCCGATTTTAAAGAATTTCGCACCGGTTACTGGTTAATTGTAGATAGTTGTTGATTTGGAGTATATACAACCCAGTGTGGTGAAAAAGCACATTAACTAAGTTATAGCTACGCCAGCTAATATTTACCGTAAAGTGGTAGTAGCTCTTACAAAAACAAGAGCGAGACTGGATTTTTTAATGAAGTGTAAAAGCAATGGGGTATTTCCAATGACAATTTTCCGTGTGCACCTACCCACTGGTAATGAACCCATTATTAATAAGGTGAGATGGATGTGTTTAACAAGAGCTATTAGACTCACAAGAAGGAAAGTATATTCTTTGATTGCCAAGATTATTCATATAGAAGATTCCTTATTCCAACAAGATCATAATCTATTGGTAGTCGAAAATGCAAAGCAAGTCAACATATATAATAGATTGAGATACAATTGGAAAATTCATTATATCCAGAAAATGCATTGGATTTTGCGATTTCAAGTACCTAAGAGATCCAATAAGGTAAACTGTCCATTCGTGACTTGGGATAACATACATGTTCCGGACTTTGTTAAGCAGGTACTGCGGTATGGTCCTGCATACGTGCCTCCTCCTTCCCCTAAGGAAGCAAGTAACTCTTCCATCCCAGACTTGGAAAATCTACTGAAGGGACTCTCGCATAACCAAAAAGAGTACTACAGATGGCTAGCATCAATTAAGATCGGTACCGCGAAGGAATCTAAGGAGGTTATACAGATGAAACATAAATTGAATAGAGCTTCCAAGTGGATAAAGAGTAATAACATTGTCTTGACCAGGGCGGATAAAGCCAAAGTAATGGTGCTAATGAAAAGAGAGACGTATGAGAAAGGATTAATTGAATACCTCTCATTAACTCAGTGCTCAGAAATGGAAACAAGCTGGGTGGATAAGATGCAAGCAAGAATTAAACGATTTGCTAATACGAAAATAGCCAAGAACATGGGTGTGAAGAACATAATTGTAGATGCTCCAGACATGCTGAAGCTGTTCGCCTTTGCTAAGATGCATAAACAAGGGCAAGAACTCAGACCTATAGTAGACAAAGGGAGAGCTCCTACCATTAAGTTAGAAAAGTTAATACATAACAGGCTATCCATGCACTTGAAAGATTACCAGTTCAAGATAGAAAGTCCAATGGAGCTTTTAAAACAACTTAAGAAGATAGACACTCCAGATTGCGCAACGGTATTGGATTTTAGATCCTTATACCCTTCAATAAAAATTCAACCATGTTTTTGTGCACTCAGGGACTTCCTTCTCTCTAGCATAGAGGACACCACATTGCACCACGATATACTTGAGTTAGCGCATCTGGCTTGTTACAATTCCGTATTCCAATTCAAGAACACCATATACAAGCAAGGAAGAGGAGTGCCAATGGGAAGTCCATTATCTGGAGATTTATGCGAAATGGTAATCAGGATATTAGAAAACAAAGTCCTTCCCTCCTTTCTCCCAAATATTAGCCTGTACAGAAGATATATCGACAATATAATTATCCTTTGGAAAGCTGAGCCGGATATAGATCATTTTATGGAATCAATGAACAACAACCCATATGGCCTCGTAGTGGAACTGGAACAACACAGTAAGGATAAAGTACACTTCTTGGATATAGTCATAGATATGAAAGAGAGGGCAGTACAAACTTATGTATACAGAAAACCTACAGCGATATTAACGTATATACCTTATGAATCTTGTGACCCATTTTCTTATAAGATAGCGGCGTTTAGAGCATTAGTAGAAAGAGCATATACACATTCTTCCACCTTCCAAGCCTCCAACGAGAATTAAATTACATTAGGAAGATCGCTAAAGAGCATGGTTACAGCAATATTATAAAAGGTTTAGGTATGCAGCACCGGCATTTGCAGAATCGTGTAGAAGAAAAGGTAGAGGTACTAAATAATGGAAATGAGGATAGCATAGAGAAGGTACCAATAACGTATAACCCGCATCTAAAGGCAATGTATGAAAAAATTGCAAAAATAAAAGGAATTAAAATCGCATACAAAAGAAACCCAACCATTTACAGTTTATTAAGGAACGGGAAGGACAATTCGGACCCAAATAGGCTTCCAGGGATATACAGTATTCCATTAAAAGATAACAGATGGGATAGGCCTTTAGTGTATATCGGAACCACCAAGTGTTCATTGGCCACAAGATTAAAAGAGCATAAATCAGACATCGAACATAATAAATGTACGACAGCCTTATCTACGTATGCGACAAACCCGGACATCACACCTTTCTTCGATGATGCGCATGTTATTCGCACCACCCAACACCAGGAACAACTAAGAACTTTGGAGGCAGTGGAAATCTTTAAAGCCGATTGCAAATCCACATGCATTAATTTCAAAGAAGAAATAAATCTCTCTGCAGCATGGCAATTTTTAATTGACGATAAATCATATTTATATGATAAATTTTATGAGGTGTTACACACAACGAATCCCCATTGGTAGAAAATTATATTTGAAATAACACGTGGATTCCTTCCATTTTCGGAAATTTTTTCGAAAAATGGCACGTTCCATATTTTTCAAAAACATTTGAATTAAAGAATCTGGTTATAACGAAAGGTATAAAAAAGCGAGCCTGAAGAAGATTCCAGGAGGGGAATCGAAAACATTCGCCGATTTTAAAGAATTTCGCACCGGTTACTGGTTAATTGTAGATAGTTGTTGATTTGGAGAATAATCTATTGTTGCATGCTTTCAATTCAGTGGTACAGACTATGTGGTGGGCAGGTTATGCAAAGGTTTTATTTTCATTCTAGCAATTTTCTGCAGAGTTTACACCTTTTTAGATTATACATTGCGGCAGCTTATTCACATGAAATTATGATACTTGAGTTGAAAATTTTAAAAATAAAATAAGCTTTGAAAAAGTGATAAATGGTATATTTGTAGTTTTTTTATTTGATTAGATGTATGTATTTTTTTGTAATGCTCTCTTCCCTGTGAGTACTAAGAGGGCATTTTAGCAAGCCTACTTCGGGTTTGGCCAGGTGGTGAAGGATAGAGTTGATGTATCCCCCAAAAAAATCCCTGTGGGTGTTTTGATCTGTCTAGATTTGATTCCGGATCCCCAGAGCAGAAGGCCGACACCTTAACCACTTGGCCATCCAGTCATCTAATTAAAAATATTGTGTGTGTTTAGTATGTAGCAATAAATTCAGAAGCCATCATCTCTTTCATTTAAATTATATAAAAAATAATAATAATAATTTTTTTTAAATAAATTGTTTAGTGTTTAATTGAATTTTCTAATATAATATAATTTTTAGGGACATGTTGGTATTTTAATAGCATATTTACGTCCTTCCTGTAAGGTAAAATTTTTATCTAATTAATTTTTAATATAAGTTAATGGAAAGTAATATTAAGTAATGATTGTTTTAAATTATTAGGTAATTCTTATAGAAAATAAAGAATCATCTATGGATCGTGCTAGAGCGAGAGCAAAAGAATTGCAGCTTAGAAACGTATTCTTTTATCAGGTAAATTAATTCGTTAACTTGCTTAAGGTAAATTGATATATTACTTTAATTTTTAAGAACATTTTAGTTAAAAATATAAGATCTTTTGCAATATTTGTAACAGGTGTTTGTTAATTGAAGTAATAACATGTTAATAAGCTATAATGGATTTGTTTCCAGTGTAATATGGATTATTTTTGTGGAAGATTTGACATTGGCGTGTGTTTACATGCTTGTGGAGTAGCAACCGATTTGGTAATTAGACAGTGTCTTTCTCAAAATGCCAGTTTTGTCTGTTGCCCGTGCTGTTACGGTTCGATTAAGAATTCTCATTTGGTTCAATATCCAAGGAGTGAAAAATTTAGAGAGTGCGGTGTGAGTTATGAGGTAAAAAAAATGTTTTTATTTTACTAATATTTATCTTCTCTCTCTTTCTATCTTTATTTTAAATTCTAATTTGTTATTGTAGTCCTCAAAAACAGATTCATGCAAGCCTATCTTTCTATCTGTTATGCATCTGTATCAATATTTTTATTGTCATATTATTAATAAATTAATTTATTTGATCACAAATTATTGAAATAAATAAAGTTGAAAATTTTTAATATCAGTTGAGCTTCTGATCAAGCCTTAGTTATAATAACCAGCAAAATTGTACAACTTTGAAAGCCAAGACTTTGGGGATAGTAAATAATAATTTGATATTTTTTCTAACGACTTATAAAATTAAGATAGCTTTGTCATTAAAAAGATTATTTGCTTTTATTTGGTATCCAATGGAAATTTGTTTTAAGATGTCTGCTGTTTGCTCTGTATACTAACTCAGGACTTTGTAAACTATCTTCCATCATTAAACTACTGTAAATCCTATAATTAATTCAGAAAAAATTTAATGCTCCAAAATCATTATATATCTATCACTAGTGAAAAAATATCTCACAATTTATAAACTGAAGTAAATACAGTGTTTTCTATTAATAAATACTTTCTTACATTAAATTTTTCAGTGACAGCGTAGAAAACTTCTTATGTAGATTTGATAAACAAGAAGTTTCCATTATGTAGTCATTGATTCTGACCTTACCTTTGGATTCCAGATAGATCACTGTGTTGCAATTTGTTGTGACATCATCTAAAGGCAAGATTGTAACAAGAAAAATAATTTAACCCTTCGGGGAACGCGCCTTTCAGGATCTCACGAGAGGGCGCATCGCGGCAATTGCACTGCATATGTAATATTACTTGATTTAAGTCAATAATTAATTATCGTTTTGAAAATATGATTCAGATATACCAGAAAACTATTTTTACGGCATTTTAATGAACAAATTGTTTATAAAATATTTAGATAATAAAAATAGTCACTATATATTCATGAGATGTTCACTTTCACACATGGCACATATAATCACCATATTCCGATTCTTCTTGCAAATATTTCTACTCATTTCTGACAAATTGATTTTTTTCTATTGTTTTTGAGTATGCCACAAATAAAACAAATTCTAGGTTTTTGCCGCTACTTTGGATTGCTCTTTGTTTCCCTTATATTTTTGGAAAATATAAACTAATATAAATTTAAAAATTTATAGAAACTTACAATAGTGTTAATTTAATATATTTATTTAATAAACTTGCAAATATTGACTTACTTTATTAAAAAAATTAAACACATATATATAAACGTATACTGATATTTTAGTTACATGACAGGGCGCGTAGCAGCAGTTACAACACAAATTAGGTACGACTTGATTCAAAGTCCAGTAACAGCTAAACGGTTAGCATAACTGACCCGATTTCAAAGATAAATTGTAACTTGTAATATGAAGAGAGAATACTATGACGTATTTCCACAATAATTAAGTACAACGTCAAACAAACGAATATATTATTATTTTGCGGCAATTTGCCGCGGGGGTGTCCACCGAAGGGTTAAACTACTTATTAAGTAATGTCTCTCAATTCAGACATCTGTAACTGCCACTTCATACCTTTTTAAGTGTCAAATATATTAAAAATTTCTATCTGGCAGTTGTAAGACAGATCAGTTTCTCTATTAAAATATGTAATGTAGTTATAATAAGAATCTTAATATGTAAAAAGGTAAAGAAACAAAACACTATTAAAATCTATCTCTATTGAGCACCATTGTGAATTGCATTCTATTTCACTGGACAAATATTTTGTGTACACTCTGTTATTTCTCTGTTTGAGAGAACATTTGTATAAATGCAAGCAAATTCAAATTTAAATGTTGAGCCATTTTATATGGAAAAATATGTTTTTAACATAATTTATAATTGTAGGGTCCTATTTTCTCTTTTCGCATTTATTTTTGAAGTGTTTTATTATTAAACAGGGTGCAGTTCTTGCGACTGAAAGTGTTAGCAATATAAAAAAAAGTTAGTTTAGTATTTAAATCATTTAAATAAAATTTTTGTAGTTAATTTCAGATTTGTTTGGAAAGAAAATATCCAAGATTCTATATCAGCAATAGCCACTTTTAAAGATTAATTTTTAACACAAAATATCTGTTTTAACTTATAAATTCATTTAATTGTAAATTAACATTACTTTGAAAAATTTCAGAACCTGATGGGATGAATTTATGATATTTAATTATTGTACCAATTACAAAAACAATTACTTTCAGGAATATCAACTGTTGTGTCATTGTGCGGACCGTACTGAAGTAGCGACGCCAAAAGTAGAAGAAGGTAAGCTTCATATAAGTATTTATTATTATTTGTTTTAAACTCTTTCTGCTTTGTGGGCAATAACCGGCCCTTTTTCAGGCTCACAGTGGAATGGCAGTTGGTGAGGAAAGGAGTCTGACATATCCAGATTAGAATGCCCCAAAAAATTCAACATTTAAATACATTGGTATTCAGATTAAAGGCACGTTCGTAAAGTCGAATGAGTTAAACGAGAATGACGTCATCGTTATTCTTATTTCGTTAGACTTTTCGAACGATTCGTTTAGAACTAAATGGCTGTTTCTAAAATTGAAGATACAAATGTTGCTAGTACAGCCTTATCTGAAACATTTTTCTTAGATTGCTTCGGGTGGACAGTTATTTCAATCATTTCATCTTTTAATTCACAATTTAAACACTCGAGTAGATTTATAAACATCGATATCGTCGGGCGCCATTTTCTTAACGAAGTAAACTAACTCTTTCCTTCGTGAACTTCGTTAGTTTCGTTCGAAACGTCATCACCGCAGAGCATGCGCACTGAGCGAGACTACTACTATTCGAACGATTCGTTACTAACGCGTTTAACTCGTTTGACTTTACGAACGTACCCTAATTTTTGAATACACACACCCCCCAGCATTCTTTTGTTGGATTCTCAGTGTTTATAGCTCTTTGTCAGGTTTAATCTTAAACTAGCTCAAAAACATTAATTTAGTAAAAGTTTTGTGCTGGATACCTAAAATGGTTTTATTTATCACTGGTGTTACATTGTTAATGCAGACGAGTAGTAAAAATGGTGCTAATGATATCATGGAGGTGACCATATTGCTTCATCAGAGCCCAATGAGTGCAATGTGTATTGGTTGCTGCACAAATGAACTCTGTGAATATCAGAACACATTTTAGTACATTGTAGTTTGCCGATATTGCATACCGGAATATACCAGTTATGATTCGGTTGGCAGAAGCGAGGCCATTCAAAATGCACCTGCCAGTGTTAGACCAATAAGGTTCAGTTTTTTTCATATAATCCATTAAATGGACATATATTAGTAATAGGCCAAACGATTGCCGGGTGAAATCAGGCTACTTCTCTGTAAGTAACAGAGGATGGTTATATCATAGTTAAAACATGTCTGGAAGAGTAACTGGCAACACATCTGCAGGGTAAGCGGGAGTTGCAGGTTTGAATCCTGCTCCAAGCAGATTCTTTTCTTCCATAATATTCTAATTTATAATTTAATAATTATAAATTAAGAGATGTTGCCTAACACTGGCCTCTAGTGACAAATTATTTAGAAATTGTTAAAAGTAATAGTGGAATAGTAATCGTTTAGGCGATTAAAAATGTTTATTATTTGAGAATTTATAACAATGACAACAGCAGCAGTGCTGTTTTCTAACTAATTTAATAATTGTATCTTTTCCCAGGTGAAATATATATGAAAATCTAACATAACTCAGAAATAAAAATTATTAATGTTGGTTTTGAAAGAGCTTTTTCTGCCATTTAAGATTTGATTTTATTTATTTCTATGAAAAGACAATGAGAGATATTAAATGAAAGTAAAAGCAATTTAATACCATTAGCAATTTGAACCTACAAACTTTTATATTCTGCAACATCACAATCATCATAATGGTTAGTGAATGCCTCAACAGACTTTGCAAAATTATTAAATTGCTATTCTTATTAACAATAGTTTAAAATAAAATTATAAAAATTTTATATTTTCCTATCATTTCCATTAAATTTAAAATTTGTGTTATTTCAGGTAAATACTGCATGAGCATTATCGACACCGATAGATATTTCCATGCGTACGAAAATAACTACAACATCCGATTAACTACTCTGCAACCGCCGTCTTGTACGCCCAAATCTAATTTATTGATAGGAGTACCTAAAAGTAATAATTAGAAAATGTAATAAGAATAAAAATCTTTTAGTTACAAATTTTATGCTGTGTAGCTTTCATTTTACGTCTTTGCTATTAAACCAAAATATAAAATTTGAAATGTACCGATTCAAAGAAAATTATTATTAAACTTCAATTGAAAAACATTAACACACACATTTATATAAAAACATATTACTGTAATTTCATGCAGATAACTCAAAACCTGTGACAACATATACCCTGCAGAAAATTGTAAAATGGACATAAAACCAGCCCACCGTTTCTGCTGCAGTAACGTATACCCCACGTTACTGCAGCAGATGTTGAAAGTGTGACACTTATTAGTACAGGGTGTCTACAGACATTTAAAATCTACTTAATTTTGAGTGGAAATGTATACAACCCTTTAATAAATATAAAATCAATACAGCATCACTGAATCAAAATAGAAATATACATACTATCAGACCTTGAAACAATTAGCTATTTTGGTGACCAAGTCTCCTTTTTTTTGGACATTTTTGATTCTTCCTTTTATGAATATCCAGAAAGAATGACGGACCAACAAAGCATTCTCACTTCTTAATACAAAGGTCCACTAGTTGGAAATTGTGAATTTAAATAATTCTAAGCTACCAGTCAGATTAGCTGACAATTTTCTATATCAATTCATTGTTGCAAGTAAAGAATCACACAAACAAAATGTAAAGCTGACTGAAAAGACAGCATTCTCCAAAATGAAATTATCGTGTGATCAGATTTCTCGATTACATTATAAAGTGGTGCCTCAAATAACGGACGCTGCAAACAACGGACTTTCTGTTTGGCCGTTATGTGACTCGAGCAACGGACTGGCTGCGAACAATGGACTTTCCGTTCGGCAGTTACGTGAGGTGAACAACATTTCTGCGAACAAGTTGTGAATGATGTTTCCACTCTTTTGCCGTTGCCAATGACATTCTACTATTTTTAGAATATATTATTAGTATATCTGAAGTACAGAGCTCCCGTTGGGATTCAGCTTGCTCCCTTGTTTATTACATACTGTACATCACCTCAGTGCAGGGTATTTACATTTATTCAAGTGTTGTGCAAATCATGGCTTCTAAAAAAGCGGAAAGGTGATTTCAATTGAAACAAAGCAAGAAATCATCAGGAGTGAAAGTTGACAAGCTTTGTCAAATGGGGAGAGGTTCAGGAGTTTACCAACACTCATTATCCAAACAGCTGAGGCCAACAGGATCAATGATCTCTACAATGACACCCTTGTCCGTCATTTCCGACAGGTGTTGAAGAAGAGAGAGAAACAGACCACCTTGTACATGTTTTTCAAGAAGCCAACTGCCAAAAAACAAAGGATGGAACAAGAGGAGTTGACTCTGCAAGCTCTGGTAGTCTCTCCTGAATCTTACTCCGATTAAAAACCAATAAAAGGAGACCTGCTGCAATGTATAAAAAGTCTATCTCTATGAATGTGTGAAGCAAGTGTTCCATCACCTCCTCCTCCTCCTCACAACTGACTACCCAGCATAATTGGTGACTGCTCCATTTTCATTTTTTTTTAATGGTACAGTACAGTTATTTTATGCTGCAGAACAAATTATATGTTTTAACATGTGTTTCTATGGGAAAATGCGTTTCGTATAACGGACTTTTCACTTAACGGATGTGCACCTGGAACGGATTAAGTACATTATACAAGGCACCACTGTAATTTGATAATTTTTTTTTATTTTACAAATTAGGAAAGACATAGTTATGTTATTGATGATAAATGTAACTTCAGACATTTTTGAAGTTTTAAGAATTAATTATTACTAGATTTCAAAGCATTCTTTCAAATACTCAAGTTTAACTTATTAAAAATCTTAATCAACATAATAGTTTAATTACATAAAAAACAAAGAATGAATGAAAAACATAATACAAAATTAATATATATTTTAATCATAATTTAATAATAATTAATTCAAACCAAAGTAAAATGATTAATTTATTATTCGAGTAGTCAGCATATATTGATTTTTTTCATTTTATAAACATTAATTAGAATATATAAAGGCCACAACACACAAGGCAATTTCTCGCCCAGGAGACATTTCTCTGAGCGACAAAAATTTGTTGATGTTCGGGCACACGAGGAGAGAAGTTGCCAAAGTTATAAGATCGACATTTCTTACCTGGTAATTCTAAATGTTTGCTAACGGGATGAAAGCATGTTTCTTTTGAGTACCTTGTGATATTCTTTAATAGTGTGGATATAAACTTGTTCATATGACTGAATTAATGAAATTAAACATCGCGTCCTATCAACCATCCTCCATTTTTATTTTTGTGTTGTAAACAAGAACTGTGCTCATGTGGTAAATCTAAACACTCTCATTGGTTACAGCAAGTGACAGGAGACTGTCTTTCAAAAGTCAAAGTGATTTGACTCCGACAATTGCTCTCCCACTGTCTCCCACAAAAATCATCTAAGGTGTCACAGCCTTAACAATCTTTACAAGCCTTACAAGTACCATGTGTGTGAGTGTGAGTGCCCTTTGGTGAATCAGGTTCCAGAAGTAACATCTGATACTATAAAAAGACTACAAAGAAGTTTGCAAATCCAGAGTTTTCAATAAATTAATGACAATTCAACTGAAAAACAGAGTAAATGTTTTCTTAACACAAAGACTCTAGAAAGAACCCAACAAATACGATGCTGATGGAATTTGTAAGAAAAATTCTATCACTATCACAAAAATGCTGATGTCGAAAGAGCTTTCTTCATAAATAAAATGTGCCTTATTAAAAATACATATCAAAACTTATTGTAGTGCAGAGATTAGTATATACAGCAATTGTCAAAGCAGTTTGTATTGAAAAAATATTAACTAAAGGAACAATTCTGGCAGATTTACAACTTTATCCTTAACCTATGAGGATGTGTAACAAATTACATCCTGCAACGTACTTTTTTAGGCTTTTATTTCAGATATTTATTTTAAAAAGTAGAAAGTCACATAAAAATGGGCATAATATAAAAAAATAATAGCAAAACATCGATTATTTGGATTAAAATATTACTATTAATCATTTATTTCATTGGTTACATTCCTAACTCACAAAGTTTAAGAATAAAGTTTTTACCGTAAAGATTTGTGTTTCTCTTCTTTTTTTCCTGTTCTGTTTTTTTCATTTCACTTATTTTATAATTACATCAACAATGAAACAAACTGCTTTCTAGAGTTCACCTTTATTTACTCTCTCTAGCACTTTTGAACAACCAACTCCATTAGCAGGAGACACACAAATCTGATGTACGTCCCTCATTGCATAATCCATTCTCACTTTCAAAGTGAGTCTAAAATTACAAAGAGCAAGTTGATACAATTTGAGGCCAGTTTTTTCACATTGAATGTACAGTACTATCAAGTTCTGAATTGAAACAACTATAAACAATTGTTACTGATGCATCTGTTCCAAAAATTGCATAGAAATATGATATTTTTATTAACTACTAGAGAGAATAGATATATTCTGCTTTCTACCTACAACAAAATGGAGGTTGATTATGATGAACAGTATTTATTACATATACACATTGCTAACATGGTGGCTGAGTTTTTGGCAAGAAAAATTCTCGCATATTCCACATCCGTTGCAAATCTCAAATTTGCATCCTGGAACTTTTTCTTATTCTTAACACTGAATTTAAAGCTATGAGGTCTATTTCTCACCCACAATACAGTGATCAAAGCATCATAGACAATTCTGAAGAACATCTCCAAGGATGGGTTATACACGTCTTCGAGTTCTGACAGAAGCAATGGCAGAAGTGTATTGAATTTCATGGTGAATACTTCAAAAAAGACCATAGTTACTATGCCCGAGAGAGAGATTTTTTCCATTTTGTGATAGTCATTCTCAATTTGTTTTGACTTGTTCTGTACATAGGCAACTTTTTCAAAAAAAAAAAAAAAAAATGGTAAATGCAATAATGTATATCAAATATATTAATGCCTACATCACTTTAACAAGATGTGCATGTATATTTCTTTACTTTTTTTTAAGTTTTACTAATATTTTGCTAAATAATAATTAGAAAATATAAATTATATTGCATTACAGTTTAATTAATGCACAATAAAATAAACATTTTCCATTCATACAACTATACACTTCCATACAGAACTGGAATTTTTTAGTTGGATTGGAATGTATCTCCCACATAATGCATTAGTAGTTCAATGGAAAATGGATGCATGATATACATTGTATAAGTCATATTTTTTGGAACACAAGTTAAGCATATATTGAGGACCATCTGTATTTTGATAGATCATAACTGAAACCAGGAATATCTAATTGAGTATGTATATGTAGTAGATATTTTAGCAGGCTAAAGATGAATGTTTAAGATATCAGAAAAATTCGGGTGAATGATAGAAATTTATTAAATTGTACAAATGAAAAACTCATAAGATCAGTGTTATTTTTTCTGGCTAAAACAAGCAAACAAACAATATCTAGATTTAAGAACAATGAAAGTTATTACTCATAACTAACTACAAATACAAAGAATATTAGTACTCGATTGCTTGCTGTTCTCTCATATGGCCCGAAATGCATATCCTTTGTAAAAAAAAATAGAAAATAAAAATCCACTTCTTCCATCGAGAGGAGTGTTCATGTGTGATAAGTTCTCAATAGCAATTTTATACTTTGTTCCAAGAAACACACAAAGAATATTCTTGAATTATTATTCAAATTTTTTGGTACAAACTTTTTCCTGCAGCATGATTGGAGTAACATAGAAATATCAAACACAATGCAAAGGGATCCATCCCTTAAAACATTTTAAAAAGTACAGCAACATAAATCTGATTAATAGAAGTTCTGTATTATCCAAGGCAAACTGGTAAGTGTAATAGACTATTTTTCTTATAATTCATAAAAGTTTTTCCAAGCGTATGTTCCACAGTTTGTGAAATATGGTGATAACAAACTCTAAACACAAATACAATTTTTATTTTTATTTAAAAATATATAAAATATAATACTCTGCCTCTTCTAACTTCAAAAGGCAAGGAAAAAGAATACTATTAAAAGAAAAATTAAAGAATATTTTTCAATAATAAGGAAAATATAAATAATATTAATTTAAATAATGGTATTAATGTTGATGCATGTTGGAACAGATCTGTAAATTATACACTGCATGTGTATTATCGCTGAGGGGG